AAAAATAATAACAAGTGAATTAACTTAACGTTCTACACACCTATAAAACTTTTGCTTTGTTTTCTATTGTTAATTTATACACATTTTTGTTTTAAGAAATTGCTAAACATTTTCGTCTAGTACTGTACAGTTCTAGCCGATCTCCTAAGACCGTCCATCGAGAGCTCTGCTCGTTCAAGCTTGGAAACTGATTAAGAAAAATTAACTACCTTTTAAAAATCTATACAGTGTAGGGACATTTATATTACATACGTGCATATAGTACATAAAATACTTATTATATACATACATAAGTCTTACATTTCCGTAATTCTATCCATGTATCGGCTTCATTGCGCGTAACAAAAGGCGTTCTTCATGAGTACACCAAAATGTGACATCTTATAAAACGAGCTAGTGAACAATTAGTATAAACGTGTGTATTTGTGAATACAGTATACCAACAAATGTAGCAATATACTGTACAATATGTACGTACATGGTAACCCAAAGTTAAAACAACGAACCAAATTTAATGGAAAATTGCTGTTTTCGTTGATCATCACAATTAGTTAGTTAATTACAAATAAACATCATGCTTTAATAGACACATTCAACTCGGAAAGTGTAGTTAATTTTTCACATTTTACATATTCCTCCATGCCTTTAATAAACAATTGATGTTCCATTCAAAAAGAGAGAAAAATTAAGAACTTCTGTGATTCTGAGCTTCTGTCTCAGATCTAAGGAATTTGTATATTTGTAAGTTGCTGAGGAAGTCCAAATGTATCGCCAAAACGTTTAGCATAACCACATAGATCCTCTAGCTTCACTCATATCATTTTTACTATGTATCCAATTACCTATTAGATACCTGGAACATCTGGTATAAACTTACTCCTAAAGGTAGAGATAGTCGAGAATCTCATGGCCCTTGGCCTTGGGTTGCACAATGACAAAAACTGCGCTCCTTCATTGATTTCTACACTTCTTTCTTTTTAACAACATTTGCTGTTACTGTTTAGAGCTTCCTGGAGCTTCGATCCTGTTTGTATAATAGACAGGTCCATGGTTAATAGCCGAGTCAATGTTTTCATAATTAACAACATAAATGCAATAAGGTTTGCCGCTCGTACACTTGAAGCCTCGTGAGACATTTTGAACTAGCTGTAACACACGTCATAAGCCAGAGGTCGGTATCATCTTATGCAGCGGTCAACAGTGGAACTACGTAAAGCTCGTCGTCCCTTTTTAAGTCTAAAATCGATTCGAGGTCGCTCACGTTTTTGCTCTGACACGCGAGAAAAAACAAAAAGAAAAACGAAAAAAATAAAAGTGCCAGGAGAGTAACAGGCGTATTGTATTGTCTAATAACGCCGGTTACTGTAGTAGGTCTACAGTTATGTAGCCTTATATATGCAGTATATGGATAAAAGAGAGTCAATTCGATTCTGTATATTCCGCTTGCCGTGGAACAAACAGGTTTCCTGCGCACGTATGTGTGGTGGATACGGAGGAGATAGAATCGACGAAACTGGAGAGAAAGAACACAACAATAATCCTTCCTTTTACACAGTTGTGCCTTGTTGTCTGAACCGTTTGTTTTTAACAACGTACTTCTACTAAATACTGTCGTAACTCTTTTTCCTGTTGAGGTCCATATTAGAAGTTCAACAACCTCACTAGGTCAATCCGATGGTCGCAAAAATGGGGGCGAGCTAGCATTTGGGTAGATAGATACAATTTTTAGAATATGTAGGCA